CAGAACGCCGCCGCCGCCGCCGCGCGCCTGCTCAGAACGCCACCGCCGCTGCCGCCACGCGCCTGCTCAGAACAACGCCGCCGCCGCCGCCACGCGCCTGCTCAGAACGCCGCCTCCGCCGCCACGCGCCTGCTCAGAACGCCGCCGCCGCCGCCGCGCGCCTGCTCAGAACGCCACCGCCGCCGCCGCCACGCGCCTGCTCAGAACAACGCCGCCTCCGCCGCCACGCGCCTGCTCAGAACGCCGCCGCCGCCGCCGCCGCCACGCGCCTGCTCAGAACGCCACCGCCGCCGCCGCCACGCGCCTGCTCAGAACAACGCCGCCTCCGCCGCCACGCGCCTGCTCAGAACGACGCCGCCGCCGCCACGCGCCTGCTCAGAACGCCGTCGCCGCCTCCACGCGCCTGCTCAGAACGACGCCTTCGCCGCCGCCGCCGCGCGCCTGCTCAGAACAACGCCGCCGCCGCCGCCGCCACGCGCCTGCTCAGAATAACGCCGCCGCCGCCGCCGCGCGCCTGCTCAGAATAACGCCGCCGCCGCCGCCGCCACGCGCCTGCTCAGAACGCCGCCGCCGCCGCCGCGCTGCTGTCTCAGCTTTCCTAGCTGCTGCTGCTTTTTTGTCGGTCATGGCTCCTGAGCTCCAGCCGGGCACTCTACCCCCGGAGCCACGGCGCCACTTCCGGCTTCCGGCCTTCTCTGCTCACGCGGTGCGGAGGAATGGAACCGGCCTCAGGCACGCGGGGCGCGCGCTGCCGCCCGCTCCTCCCAGCCCCTCGGCTTTCCTGCCGCGGCCACGAGGCCGGCGCGGGCCGGGCCGGAGGAGAACGCGGGCACGAGGGCGAGAGCAGAATCGTGCTGTCACCGAGGGGCGAAGAGACCGGGAGAGGAGACGACGGACAGAGCCGGGGACGGACGGACAGAGCGGGGGACGGACGGACAGAGCCGGGGACGGCCGGACAGAGCCGGGGACGGCCGGACAGAGCCGGGGACCGCCGGACAGAGCGGGCGACCAGACGGACAGAGCCGGGGACGAAGGGACAGAGCGGGGAACCAGACAGAGCGGGGGACCAGACGGACAGAGCGGGGGACCGGACGGACAGAGCGGGGGACCAGACGGACAGAGCGGGGGACCGGACGGACAGAGCGGGGGACCGGACGGACAGAGTGGGGGACCAGACAGAGCGGGGGACGGACGGACAGAGCCGGGGACGGCCGGACAGAGCCGGGGACCGCCGGACAGAGCGGGGGACCAGACGGACAGAGCGGGGGACGGACGGACAGAGCGGGGGACGGACGGACAGAGCGGGGGACGGACGGACAGAGCGGGGGATCAGACAGAGCGGGGGACGGACGGACAGCGCCGTGCAGAGCCCCCAGGGCGTCCGGAGACAGGAGGCGCCGCGCTGGACGGGGAGCGCAGTGGCAGGCCGGACGGCACACACAGCTGTGAACACAACTCTGCCCGAAATCGAGGAAGCAAACGCTTGTGCTTTACGTATAGAGCAATGCAAAGGCCAAGACTAACAACCGAGGTGAGCACAATGGTGATGGGTTTCGAGGGTGTGAGGGGAGGAGAGGGCTGCGTGCAGCCGGAGACGTGGAGCCAACACACAGACAGACAGACAGGACACGGGACTCAGAGTTCACTCCTGTGCTACGCACACGCAGTGTGAGCATCCGAAAGTTAGCGTTCTATGAGACTGGTTAGAATGTGTATAAAGACGGGTTTTCAGGTTGAAAAACCAAACTTGTTTTATGTACATTTTAAAAATTTATCTAATTCGTAAGTACTTATGAAGTAATTCTTCCAAGCTCTTGGGACATAGTAAGAGAACAGATGAACACTGGTGTAGATTGCTTTTCGTGATAAAAATTCTTATCTCTGTAGATAGGAGTTCCAATCTTTTGTGTAAGTCTGCTCAAAGAAAAAGTGATTTGATGGATTGTGAAGGATATCTGAACAAATGAAATACTCATTTTACTTCAAAACTAGTGATTTTCTGATGCTTTCACTGAATGTATTTCATATCAAGATTTTAAGGCTTCTGTAGAGACAGGAGCAAAATAAATCAAAGATTAATAAAAAGCTAACTAAGTTTCTATGTTCCTGTGGAGTTCAGCCTCTGGATACACACACACTGGAGTATTCCTCTCAGCAGGCTCCAAGTCCCCTTGGAACAGTTTACAAATTAAAACTTGTGAACAGAGGCTGGGAGCACCTTCTCCTGGGTTCAGGTGAGGAGCCCACCTGTGAGGGGCGGCGCTCGGTGGAGAGTGGCCCTGGGTGTTCTCAGATATTCTGGTGCTCACTGCTCACCTAAGCCACTGATGGGGACATGCAAGCCACAGTGCTGCGCCTGCTGTAAGCACACATCCATGACAGTGTCAGCCAAGGTCACGGGGGCCATTCTGTCTGGAGCAAAGCAAGAGGGAAGGCCTGCCTGGGCTGGAGCCACCCTGGTCACCTCTGGAGAGGAGCCATGCTGTCTGGAGAGGAGTCATGCTATCTGGGGAGGAGTCATGCTGTCTGAGGAGGAGCCATGCTGTCTGGGGAGGAAGTCATGCTGTCTGGGGAGGAGCCATGCTGTCTGAGGAGGAGTCATGCTGTCTGGGGAGGAGCCATGCTGTCTGGGGAGGAAGTCATGCTGTCTGGGGAGGAAGTCATGCTGTCTGGGGAGGAAGTCATGCTGTCTGGGGAGGAAGTCATGCTGTCTGGGGAGGAAGTCATGCTGTCTGGGGAGGAAGTCATGCTGTCTGGGGAGGAATCATGCTCTGAGGAGGAGTCATGCTGTCTGGGGAGGAGTCATGCTGTCAGGGGAGGAGTCATGCTCTCAGGAGGAGTCATGCTGTCTGGGGAGAAGCCATGCTGTCTGAGGAGGAGTCATGCTGTCTGGGGAGGAAGTCATGCTGTCTGGGGAGGAGTCATGCTGTCTGGGGAGGAAGTTATGCTGTCTGGGGAGGAGCCATGCTGTCCGGGGAGGAAGTCATGCTGTCTGGGGAGGAAGTCATGCTGTCCGGGGAGGAGCCATGCTGTCTGGGGAGGAAGTCATGCTGTCTGGGGAGAAAGTCATGCTGTCTGGGGAGAAAGTCATGCTGTCTGGGGAGGAGTCATGCTGTCTGGGGAGGAAGTCATGCTGTCTGGGGAGGAGCCATGCTGTCTGGGGAGGAGCCATGCTGTCTGGGGAGGAAGTCATGCTGTCTGGGGAGGAAGTCATGCTGTCTGGGGAGGAGCTATGCTGTCTGGGGAGGAGTCATGCTGTCTGGGGAGGAAGTCATGCTGTCTGGGGAGGAGCCATGCTGTCTGGGGAGGAGCCATGCTGTCTGGGGAGGAGCTATGCTGTCTGGGGAGGAAGTCATGCTGTCTGAGGAGGAGCCATGCTGTCTGGGGAGGAGCCATGCTGTCTGGGGAGGAGCCATGCTGTCTGGGGAGGAGTCATACTGTCTGGGGAGGAGTCATGCTGTCTGGGGAGGAATTCATGCTGTCTGGGGAGGGGCCATGCTGTCTGGGGAGGGGCTATACTCTCTGGGGAGGAGCCATGCTCGGCTCTCTCTAGATTCTGGTGGAAGTCTTGACATATTTTCGCCCTGGTCTGTACTGTAACCCCACTCCACCAACCCAGCATCACTCTGCCTGCTTCCTGGCGCTCTGCTTGCCTGGCCACCGTGCGTCACTGAGGGCCCTCTCGATGTCCCGGGACAGGGTCTGCACTTCCAACCCTCACCTCATCCCACTGCGTAGCTCCTGGGCCACAGCGACAGTCCCAGGAAGTAGAATCCGGACTCGGCCTCTGAGGCCTGCCGCTTCCTGTCCCCCTGCTCCTTGGACCTATGTCAGTCAACTGTGGATTAATGGGCTGGGTTCGTAGATTATGCGATTAGGTAGTTATGTGTACACTCTCCTTGTTGACACAGTTCTTGCCATAAAAATAAACACCTTGTATACACATGCAATATCAGCTGATTACTTTTCCTGAGCTCATTAATAAGAACCCTCAGTCCATCGACCTCAGCCATAGCTGGATGGGGCGTGGGGAGATGAATTCAAGTTACAGATTCCTTGATGTCAGAGAGAGCAAACCAAGCGCTTAGTTCCCATCCCTAAACAGGTACTTTGCACTCTACCCGGTAGAGTTACTACTAAAACATACAGCATATATCACCACTCATAGTTATGGTCTTTATAAAGTCTCACAGACTTCACTGTGTGTATACATGCATGCATACACACACTAAATTGTAAGTAAAACTCTTGTGACACAGCTCTAGTTATACAGTTTAGCACCATATAGTCTAAAAAGCAAATGACAGTATTGAAATACATCATTCTTAAACTTCAAGATCAATCAGAATGCTCAAGCACCCCTCATAATGCTTTCATAGATAATTTCTGTTGCATGACAGAGCACGCTGCATATCAACTCTAACACAGCACCTGAATCCCCTAATGCCATGCTTGACGGTAAATGTCTCTAAATGCAAATGAGGTGTTTAAATGTAAGATACTTCAGATAGATGGCCTCATGGTATCTGCCCGAATGGCTCTTAAAAGTTAAAGTTCCAACTGTTCCTACTACTGGAAAAAATAATGAAAATGATAATTGTACCAAGCACTATTCAAAGCTGCTGATTCAACTTGTAGGCCGCTGAGGTGACAGGCGGTGGCAGCCGCCGCTTGTGCCCCGGCACAGGGCAGAGGGCCAGGTGGGGACTGCGCACCCGGCCCCTCTTCGGAGGAGCAGGAGGGTGGGTGCTTCTCATTCACCCATCTTCGTCGTCATCGTCCTCGCTTAAAACGTTATGAAAAGTTTCTGTCTGCTCCATCTCAGACTACACCTGGCGTGGTTCTAAATGCGGGGTGTGCTTTCTGCTTTCATTTGTTATTGGGTGCAAAGGCCCAGCCAGGCCCCCGGCTTAGCTGTGTGCGTTGGGGATGAGGGGGCAGCGGGGGACAAGAGGGATGAAGGGGAGAGAGGACGAGGCGCCGCCAGGCCAGCCACTTACCGTCGCTGCGCAGAGTGAGCGGGGTCGGAGGGCTGAGCACCCGGGCGTTGGTCACCGTGTTTTTCACCAGGCAAATATAGCTGCCAACATCTGAGCTCTGCACTTTGGAAATGTAGAGGTTGCCTGTCTGCTGGGACACGAAGCGCCGGCTGTCCTCCACCACGAAGGAAGGGAACTCGTTAAACACCCAGCTGTAGACGATCTCTGAAAACACAGAATTCAGCTGCTGAAAGGCACAGGTCACTCAACCAACTGACAAGGCCCAACCAACCGTCCATGCAATGGTAGTACAGCCACACACAATTCACCTCCTCAGCCTTGATGCAGCCCATCCCTCTCTGGAATGAAGGACTTAATCACTGCTGGAGTCGAGTGCTCCCCAGAGAGGAATCAGTCCTTACGGATATCTTTGGTGTTTCAATTCCACCGTGCAGTAGCCGTGTGTTAGATACTCAACAGGAAACTCTTTGTAACACAAACACTTAAACACAGCCCAGAGCCCACATCACACGGCCCAGAGCCCGGACCCTGACCCGACGCGATTGTCGCTCCTGAGGCTTTAGGATTTGTGGTTCGCGCTGTGTTTACAAGTCCTCAGGATGAACACACGGAGGTGTTGGCTGAGAAGTCTTGCTTACATCTGTTTCTATACTTCAGTGTTAAAATCTGGCCCAAAGCCCTCTCCCCACGCACCAAACTGCATTCTATTTCAGCGTACCAACCAAGCGCACATGAGCCTCAGCCTTCATCTTGTAGCGATGGTCAGGGCTGAGCAGACACAGGGCTAAGGGCAGGCTGTCCGAGCGTGACCCCATGTCCTCGGAAGGTGACGCCCTGGCCACGTGAGGCACCCGTGTGCCCTGAGCGCCGGAGCCACTGCTGTGACGCTCTGCCAGGCAGCACCGGCTGGCATTTTGCCTCTGCACCAACATGTGAACTGGTGCGTGCCTGAGGAAGCTGGTGGGCGCTCAAGCTACGGCCCGTTGGGGGCGAGGCGCAGGAGGACTGAGGCAGAGGGGACACCAGGCCAGGCGTGGCATGCCAAGCACAGGCTGCGCAGACAGGGACGGAAGCGGGCAGGGAAGCACCACCGTGAGAGCTCCGCAGGTATGCCCAGACGCCTCCCAGCCGCTCCTCTGCCTCTCCGCCCCACACACTGAAGGGCACGTGGGGAATGGGTGAGACCATGGGTTCTGGAACCACAGAGACCAGAGCGCGGCATGGACTAACAGCTGTGACCCTTCAATCCACACACTGGCATTCACGGCGGCCGGGGGATCTTGGTGAGAAATGACCGGGTGGCTCTTCCCCCGGGCGCGGGGAGGCTGGATTTCTGGCGCCAAGGTCTGGGAGTCAGACGCGGCACACAGCCACTGGCCGGGCTGGCCTTGCTGGCCCGCTCTGGGTCACAGCTTATGTTCTCCTGATTCAATGACCCAATTTTCTGCATCTGGTTTCCTTGTCCAGAAAACGGGAGCTTGATGTGTATTTTATGGGAGGGCTGAGGTTGTGAATCTGCAACGTGGTGGAGCTGCTCCCGCTGGCCATTCGAAGGCTCAGGATAAATGACCAGCCTAACAGAACTGCTGCAATGCAAATGCATCTTGCCCCTTGAACAACTGGCTTAATTTCTACCAGCGTCAAAAGTTTCTCTTATAAAACACATCCAAAAGCAAACAGCCTTAGATAACCTCAGAGTCACAAAGAGAGTAAAGCTGTCTGATTCTCAGTATTTTAAAATATGTCATGAAGAATGCAATAGAGAACACTTATCATGTGTTTTGAAATGGAATTTACCTTAATACAAAAGCAGGCTGTATTACTACATTAAATTCCAGTCATCTTGGGTGAACAGAACAAAGCACTAATTCTTTTTTTTTCATTTTTGAGATATGTATTTTCATTACATTACCTAAAGTCAGAAGAAGCAGAATTCTGCTTCAGAATGTAATATGTCATTAAGACAAAATAGAATTTTATGTGCATATAATTAAAGATACTCTTAGTAAAGCAGAAGATAAAAGAATATTTATCATAGACACAAAAGTAAACACACAGTCCCAGGATTTCTAAATCAAATAGCTGCAGACTTGTGAGCTCTAGAGTTCAGGAGTTTCTCAACTTGGTGGCAGTGGCTATTTTCATTTTCTCTGTGGAGTGTTTTATGCCATGGAGGTGCAGATGTAAAGGTCATGGGTAATTCTTAAAAGAAAAAAAACACAGAAAACCCACAGCCTGAATTTCTTGCTTTGCTAAGGGAGCTTTCAATTATTTGTCTTGAACTGTAAACTCGGTCAGGTCTGGGCTGGCATTTACTTGACATTGTGTGATGATCAGTGGCCCAATTCAATCCAGGCTCTGACCTATGCATGGAAAACATCCCTCAAGGCATGCTGTGTTTATTAGGAAAGCCCAGACTGTCATCAAAGGGAGAACACCTCTGTTTTGTACAGAGCGGGGCCGGGAGATGCTGTGCCTAGTAGCAGATATGCACAGAGACTCACGGGACTGTGGGAAAGCCGTACCCTTCATTAGGCACGGTCCTGGTTGGCTGTCAGCTTGTTCCTCAACAAATCAGAATACTGGATAGCACAGGACAACAGTGGAGAGTGTGTGCGTCCCCCTCACTCCCCACGCAGGTGCCGAGGGAGAAGGGTTCTGTGGGATGTGGTTTACCTGAGGGGATGCTCCGGCAAAGGAACGGAAGGAAGCAGGGTGAGATAAGGAAGCCATCGGGCTCAGCTGGGCTGTGGTGCATCTGCACAGGGCTGGCCCTACCTGGAGTTCCCAGGCACACGTTTACCTATGGAACTCATACGTGAAGATAAAACCACTGGTGTCCTCGACGCAGGGCCGGCCGCTGGCCTCTGGCTGGGGTGCAACAAGATCCAAGTATGGAGTTCTTCTGGTGAGGGTGTTTTGGGGGCTGGAGAGGAGGCCACAGTCCACAGACTGCTGGGTGGGTGCGGAGCGGGTGAGGAGCTCTGGGTGGGGGAAGTGGGGCTCAAGGAAGCCCTCAGCTCTTTGTGTCCCTGGCTCTCTGTATTCACTCCGTTCTTACTAGAATGCATAACCCCGTTTCACAGATGAGGAAACTTCTCTGCGTGCATAGAGGGGTAAATACAGGAAAGGAAGGGTGGCCAGGCATAGATCTTTGCCTGAGAAAGGAGTGACTAACAGTTGTTTCTAATATTTATTGGATTTAGCTATTGAAGTATAGACTATAACTTTGCAAATGAAGCTTGAGGCTGAAAGCAGGTTGCTAATGATTCCTACGAACCCCTAAGTCACCCTGAAACTAAACTACCAAGGCAGGACGTGCTATTCGGGACGTGGCGATGTTGCCTGCCAAACAGCACACAGTGTGGGCCTGGGCAGACTGGAGCATGCGCACAGACTGGCCCGCCCCCGCCCCTTACGCCAGGAAATGTGCGCTCAGTGATCAATAGTACCAAAGATTACCAACGAAGCCAGCCAGCCTGTGTTCTCTAGAATCATCCACGGAATGCCGCTGTTTGCTGAACAGGAAGGACTAACCTTGGGTAATAGGAAAATGGGAACAAGGGTTAGAAAGACAAATCTTTCTCGTTTTCCCATATGTAATAAAATGTGACCTTGTATCCAAAAGATATTTGTCATTTATATACAACATAGAAAACTAAATTTTAATTTTGCCCTATGTATGAAAGTGGAAGAATATACACCTGGTAAAATATTCAGCACACTCAACGTTTTTACTGATGAGATTTTTAAAAAGGTATCTTTAGTCCTTTCCATTTCATGCTATGTAAATTTTATGGTATGAAATATTCATATTTGTTGCAGAACAAATATTAACAGAAACAAATATGAGTTTTATAGTGTGGTCCCTGCCCTGCTAGGTGAGCAACAGAACCTTCTGGAGTTGCGCTCTGCCTCACTTGGGATGCTGAATGTGGACGTAGAGCCTTTGGGGCTGCTTCCACGCATGGCGCAGTGCAGGAGATGAGGGAGGAGATCAATTATGCTAACAAGATTGCCTCTCAACTTCCTCCTGCACTACAAGTTGTTTTTTGTACATGCTTTTCATGCTTTTATAGCCTAACTAATGCTCATTAATCTTTCATGAAAATCTTTAATGATTTTATTAAAAATAATTTATTTGTCACATTGCCACATGCTACCTAGGAATATGGATATTGTCTATTTATCAAAACACTCTGCAGTGGTTTATTTTTTGCTCTGAGAGTATGTCCCCATGGCTCACTTTCTTCAGATAAAAAATCCTAATCAGGAAACATATATTTATCACTGCTGATATATAGTCACCATAATAAATCTTCAAATTTCTACTCAAATTCACATAATGTGAAACTTTTGGCTAGATGTTTTTTAGCTCAGTTCTTTGAAAAATTAGAAAATATGGTACGAATTGTGCTAATCATATGAACAGCATAAAAACTGATTTTTTGTCTTTTAAGGTTTTTTTATCAAGTCAAATGGTTTAAAATGTTAATACTCAGGATTTTAACAGCCTCCATATAGTTAATTTTATTAAATTAACATGTATTTGTGAAGCAGATATTATGATTCTGTCTGGTTTTGAAGAAGCAGGGCTTATGAATAATTAGAGAACACAAAGAAAGGGAAATGTGTCTTGAAAAAAAGTGGTGTATTAAAAGTAAGTAATCAGGAGACTGAGATCTGAGGATCACAGGTTGAAGCTGGCTGGAATATGGAGATCTGTGAGATTCTTATCTCCAATCAATCACCAGATGGCCATAAACAGAGTTGTGGCTCAAGTGCTTGCCTTGAGCAAAACATCCCAGGGGCAGTGCCCAGGCCCGGAGTTCAAGCCCCGGGACTCACCAAGAAACAACACACAAACCAAGTAACTGAGTGGGTCATTAGTTTGACCCCACTATTCATGTTCTCTCAGAGATGAGCTGAATTCCTGTACAATGGGAACAACAGGCTTCAGTGTAGTCATTACTGTTGACTTTCTTCTCAATTGTATTTTTCATCCTCCTCCCTTCCTGTGTGTTTTTGGAAACCACAGATTTCCACACTTCATTGTTCTCATCTGGCTGTCCCTCGGCCAGTGCCTATACTGCTGTAATCTTCCACATTCTAACTCCCAGAGACAGCGGGATCACTTCCTCGGACCCGGAACGTGGCCAGACCTCTTTGCTGCAGATCAATTGCTCCCATGCGCCATGTGCATC